CCTCTCTCTCTCCCGCCCCCCCTCTCTCTCTCTCTGCTCTCTCCCTCCTTCTTTCTCTCTCTCTCTCTCCAGCTTGTGAGTCCATAGCTTGTAGATGGTGTGTTGACTTGTTTGTGTGTCTTCCCTGACAGGGTATTTCTGACGTGGCATGGTCCAGTGACTCCCACCTCCTGGTGTCAGCATCTGACGACAAAACTCTCAAGATCTGGGACCTGAACTCAGTAAGTCTCAACTTCAGTAGTCTAAGATGTTTTTAAGGATTCTAAACTGTGACTAGGAAATAGGAGCATTTCTATCATCCCCATACTGCTATTACAGTAGGGCATCATCACTAGATAGCTTTAAACAATGTTGAGAGTTAGATGTTCAAAGGTTAGGTGTAACAAGTCGATCAGTGTACCGGTAATATTGCCAGCTGCTGCCGTGCCACGTGCCAGCAAAGCTGGTGTGTTACGCCGAAGGGCGGTTATACCGGCTATACAGATACAGATACCTGGCGGAAAAGCCATTATCATTTAATTGCAGAAAGATTTATTTAAACCACTGTGTAATAAAAAGATTTTTAACATTTTGTTGTTTTCAGGGCAAGTGCCTGAAAACATTAAAGGGTCACAGCAACTATGTGTTCTGCTGTAACTTCAACCCCCAGTCCAACCTCATCGTATCAGGATCGGTAAGTAATCTGCACTTTTGAATGTCCAAATTAACCATAGTTATCAATCCTACAGTAACTTTTTTGTTGAAAAGTTAGGGGTTTGAATCCTCACATATTCCTATCGACAAGGCCTGCTGTGTAGCAATTGATTCTCTTTGAAAACGTAATGCTTATAGGGAAAATTACCTCTATGTGAAAGCAAATAGTCATGCAGTAACAGCAGAAGCGGATAATGGATATTTGTTTAGCCAGAACTGTACCTTTCCTCTGACTCTATTTCTTGACTGGACTACAGTAGTACTTATCATGATGTTCCCTTAGTAATGATTGTTACATATTTTATCTGTTTCCTCAGTTTGATGAGAGTGTGAGAATCTGGGACGTGAAGACCGGCAAGTGTCTGAAAACTCTGCCTGCTCACTCTGATCCTGTATCTGCAGTAAGTCTACATGCACCATTTCTACATTCAAAAACCTCTAGTTTGAAACCTCTGCACATTTAAACACCCATCACACTTCTAGAGAAGAGTAGGGGTGACCCGGTGTGCTTGGCAGAAATCGTGAGCCACACTGCATTATAAGTAACTACTAGAAACAGCATCATACATTACCACAATAGACAATGACCACTTTACCTTTACCTTTTACATCATTTTACAATCTTTTTTCCTGAACAGGTGCATTTCAACAGAGATGGTTCCCTTATTGTGTCCAGTAGCTACGATGGACTTTGGTGAGTTTTCAAAAAGGTTCCTACTTCATTATATGCATGATGTGCCAAAAAAACAGTTCCTCAAACATTTGTTGACCATTTCCAAAATCATATCCAATTGCTTTTTTTAGCGTATCTAATTACATGGATGAAACCTTCTCCAACGTACATGTATATGCATGATGGTTTACCATAGCAGCCAATAGCAAGATTGTTGTTGTTCTTCTTACCAGTATTGTTTGATATCTTTTAACATTTTTTAAATCTTTGTTTCAGTCGGATTTGGGACACAGCGTCAGGGCAATGCCTGAAAACATTGATAGGTAAGGTGAACATGTATTACGATATGTTCTACACCAAATAGATAAAAGGTAGTTATAATTGCCTATTTAGAACTACATGGTCTACATTTAGAAATTCATTCTAAGAGGTCACAACATACATTGGATGATGTTTGATAACTGTCAAATTTTGAAATACAGAAATCTAAAAACTTGGTGCATGGGGAAACTTTCAACTGCCTTCCTCAAGAGTAAATTTGTTGTAAGACATGTTAACTCCAGTTGTTGGTGCTTCTGTCTTTAAGTATATGACTAATAGTTTTCTTAATCTTGTCTCTAGATGATGACAACCCTCCCGTCTCCTTTGTGAAGTTTTCTCCCAACGGAAAATACATCCTAGCAGCAACACTGGACAAGTGAGTTAGAAACTTCAGACTGGATAATTTTGCCTTTAGTTGTTTCTTTGTGACACTTTTGGGGTGTTATATGCTTTATTCATAGTGTAATTCCTGATTTTTTTCACTGTACTGTTATGTTCACTGTTTTCCCTGTCACTTCTGTGCCGTGAACTTATCATTACAGTTGACAAATAATTCCAGGACTTTTATTTCCTGTACCTGTTGCCGCAGTGAATATATAGTTCCGTGAACATGTCCATTTTTCTCAGACCCTGAACTTTTGCTACGGTGAACATAGTGAATTACAGTATTTGGACTATTTGATGCCGTTATGAAACTAAGCTGTCGTATTTTTGTTTTCTTTCCCTGCAGCACACTCAAGTTGTGGGACTACAGTAAAGGAAAGGTAGTTATCATAACATTTTATTTATCTCATTTTAATATAAAGGTTTGCATCGCTAGTAGCTAAATATCAGGCTAATATTGGTACTAAAGATGTTTCATCTGTTGTATTGATCAGAGACCTTTTCCTGTCCCTTCTTTCCTGTTCACAGTGTTTGAAGACTTACACGGGTCATAAGAATGAAAAATACTGCATCTTTGCCAACTTTTCAGTGACAGGAGGAAAGGTAAGATATCTTTTTTTTTACTCTCTTGAAACTCCTCTTAAGCCTACCAGCTAAGGCAAAACTTTTGTAAAACCTCACTGAAACCACTTGTGTAATACCTTCACTATAAGTTATGATAACTGCAATAAAGTCCAATACAAAATCTTGCATTTTCATACAGGTCATATCACAATAGCTTCAATCCCAATGGTCTAGTACAAACATCATTTACACTTCGTATTTTTGTGCTGTGATATTTGTAAAACCTGGAGGCAAGGTAGTCTGTGATCAGGGTTGTTGACTCATGAATCTGAAGGTCCTGGGTTTGAATCACCAGCAGGCCCTGTGCTGCAGACTTACACAGTTTGTACTTTCTGTACAAAACTGATGTGTTACACCTAAAGGTTATGATACTCAAACAAAACCCTTGTCCTGTTTCAGTGGATAGTGTCGGGGTCTGAAGACAACATGGTGTTCATCTGGAACCTGCAGACGAAGGAAGTTGTGCAGAAACTACAAGGTCACACAGGTGAGGGTCATGATCTACCCACATGGACAATGAACCATGATTCCTCATAGTTTCTACACTAGTGCTGCATACCTAAACATAACATACTGGAAGTTGGAACAGAGGTGTGGGTACAGATCCAGACCTACGTAAACCTCTCACTGAACACTTTGACAAGTTACTGTAATTTCCGATTTTTTCACGGTGCTTTTATGTTGACAGTTTTCACAGTCACTTTTATATCATGAAAATTAAGATATGTGAACAGGTCTCCTGGTCAGGATGGGAAGTGTTTTAAAGTTGCTGGCAAATGTTAACGTTACATTCCCATTGTCCCTGTGTGTTCCAGACGTGGTGTTGTGTACTGCGTGTCACCCGACAGAGAACATCATCGCGTCTGCGGCGCTGGAAAACGACAAGACCATCAAACTATGGAGGAGCGACGTATGATGCCCCAACACCTCCGTAGAATCATCTCCTGTACATATAACTCTCGTCTCACATTTTTATACTACATGTACTGTATATGTAGGACAGCTAGGAACTGTCTCATTGCAAGGCATTTTCGTTCTCTCCCTCCTCACTTCTTTTTTTGGCAATGCCTGAAAGGGCAGAGCCTACTATGTAGCACGTCGGCAGAACGTACTGCGCCTGCACAGAACTCTGTATTTTTACGCTTTTCGGTCAACGTTGCATTAGAATTTTGCCTGTTGCAGAGGATATCTTTTCCGACATAACATTTGGAACCTACAGATGAGGTGTTAACCGTATATGCGCGAATATGACCTTATATGAGACCTTTTGCCGAAGTGCTATGTACAATGCATTACAGATCACGCGCAGGTGCAGTACGTTCTGCCGACGTGCTCTACTATGTAGTATTGGGTTCAATTTGTCCAGTTGCAGACTCAACAAAATATACCTTTCCTGCACCTACAGTATGAATATTCAGGCTTTTTATGCAATGTACATCCTTGTTGTGGACAACAGCACAAAATTAACAGATGCAAAAGGTACAAAAAAGATACAAAAATACATCTAGCTCAGACTTTTCTTAGAAATATATTTTCTTCTGCCTTGAGTTGATATTGATAAGTTTTATGCACAAAAAGAGAAGACAGAAGATAAAAGGAAGATGTCAATGTTTATAAGCCAGTAAGCATATTTGCTCCAAAAGTTGTCAACAAACTACTATTGAAGCACAGTATAAGGAAGATATTATTCTCATTACAAAGGTTGGAATCACTGTACTTGAATTTCAAATGTCCTACAATTTAGAGAAGTTGTTCGGACACTCACTGACAACAGCAACAACAACATGGCATCTGATGATCTAATTGTTTGCTCAGACTGTAGGAGTAGAGATTATGTCACGCTTGTTGGGGCTGGTTTTGTCTTACTTGGTTAGTGGCTAACAGAGATGTTTAGTTAGATTGGTATATTTTACTACTAAGGTGGGATGGAAAAGTGCTTCCCTTCACACTGTATTGTAATAACCAGGTTTCTAACTTTTGAATCACCCATCTTTTCCTTGGACTTGGAAAGTCTTCCTGAGAATTACTTTCTGTGTAGAAGCAGGGTTTAATTTTGCTTGAAACATGTGGCATTTCGATGAAAGGAACCGAAATTGCTTTAGAGCAAGGTATTGTTGATATGGCAGCTGTCAGGGAATCTTTTCCAAAATTGGAGAAAGAAAATTGTATGAATGGAAGGAATGGATGGATTTTGTGTGAATGCAGTACCTGTTTCGGTCATTAGGTGGAGCTTGTAAGCTGGTCAAATCTGAAGGTAGAATGGGCTTTACTTTTATGCAAAACAACTCAACAATGTGGACCAATATGAAAGTCGTGTACAATTGTGATGTGATGTACTATTCACACCATTAGAACGTCGTGTTTTGAAAGACTACAAACTATAGAGGAAAGGCATTCAGAGAGCATTACAAAGCCGATTGTATTTTATTCTTTCCAGGACAGCAATAAACATATATGAAAGACACCTCTTCTTTGATATTTGAGTTGTTTATTAAGAATGCCCATTAGTATAGTGCAAAAAGAGCTTCCTGGAGTTCTCATAAATAAGCTGAGGTTATAATTTACATGTATCACATGTTATATACTGTCTTGTTATGCCTAACAAAAAAGGTACTGGTACATTACTTTAATAAGGTTACTCAAGTCAAGACCTTAACATAAGGTGAATATATGAGAAAGTTGTACTTTTGTGTATAATATTCATTCCCAGTAATGCCTTTATGATTGACTTTTGGTGACAGTGGTATTGAATTTGGCAAGAGACTATAAGAAGGTTCTTAATTTCTTCATTCAACAACCAGTGGGTTTTTACAATGACATCTAGCTACAGTACGAATCAGAACCAGTCATTTCTGCCCTGAAGACAGTTGTTGAATAAAAAAAAAGAACTAATACAGTCTTGGGAAAGGCACTTTACACGACTTTCCCCACTAGACTCAAGTGAAAATGAGTATTGTCCTGTCCTGTATTTGTTTCTATGTGCGGGACACAACACTAGCAACAGCTGCCTCTGTTCCGCGAGTATTGCACTTGCAATTTCAATACATCAAATCAAAAATCAAATCAATACAGTCATGTTGACTATCTACAACTGTCCAATTCCATCCAGTTTTAGTAGCAGTGTCCTCTTGAGTCCTCCATGGAGCTCCAACTGTGTGATCTCTTGTCGAAGCACCTCCTTCTCTCTCTGTGCTGTCTCCTTATTGGCTGATTTTGAAAGTGATTGACACATCGTCAACATGTCCAGAGCCAATACAAACAGCTGTTGGCCGACTTCTCCAGGTGCGACAGTTATGACTGAGCAGCAGTGGCAGAAGAACTGACCAATCACGGACAGCTGTTCCTCAGGCGAGGTGTCTGATTGGCTAACAGCCTGCTGCAGCTCCTATTGGTGAAAAAGAATGAACTTGTTAATGAATGGAAGTAAATTTAACATGTGCAATGGTATTTGTAATTGTTGCAAGATTGTCTTCATTATACATATCATTTAAGTACTATCTCATACATCGAAATTTGGGAAATGGACACTCTCCGGAAGAAATTTATCTATTTGCTTACAGGTACCGTAAATAGCCTGGTTACCAAACCTATTTTACAAATGTACATGTATCTTCTAAGTCTCTTGCAGAGAGGGCAAAAGACACTGAATAGCTACAATAAGTTTGATAACCAGACTAACATGTAAATACTGTTACTAATTATTTTTCCACACTTTAACAAGCGCAAGGATGATAACAGCTACCTGAACTGTGGCCACATAGTTCTTGACCACATGTACCCAGACACTTGCAGACACCCAGGTTTCAGTCCAGGGGCTGCCCAACAGCTGCAGTACCTCTGCTAGCTGCCAGGAGGTGCTCACTTCCACTTGTAATGTACCTGAAAAAAGCATATCATGAACATGTAGTACAATGTACTAGTATCTTGAATGCCAAACAGTAAAAGTTGGTACAGAATTGGGGTTAGTTATAGTTCTGAATCATATACTTTTATACAATACCATGCATGTCTAGCCTGAGTGTCAGCCTCCGCGGGGAGCGGACGTTGGGAAGCGGACAAAAGCTAACAAGGCTGACACTCAGGCTAATGCATGTCTGCTCTCAAAGCTTGCAACAGCAAAGAGGTTTACATCATTTGCAATGTTGCTTTGTAACTTGTGCACAAACACACATGCACACACTAACACATACAATTAAACATGCAAATACACATACACACACACACACACACACACACAAATACACACACACACATGTACACATACACACGCTACTAAAACACACACCTGCACACACATAAAACACAAATTCACACACAAATACACATAGATACACACACACACAGTCACAGTGTTACTCAAACACACACAAACACACATAATACCTTTTAATCCCAGTTGTTCATCAGGCCCCACCAGCAGTCCGTCCCTGACCAGCTGTTGTACAGCCTGGATAACACAGCTCCACTCCTTCCACACACACTGGGGCAGGACCTGTGTGAGAGCCACAGTGATGCCTGTCTGGAACAGAGCAAGCTGGGACACATCTTCCACATCTACAGTCACAGCCTGGTGGGGAAACAAAAACACATCATGTACATGATGAATGGGCATGTTGTTGGCACTTATTGGCAGTATGTCAGCAGTTTTAAAACACTGACAGAGACAATCAGGTACTTAGTAATCAGTAAGATGTACGACTTCAGAAGCCAAAAAAAGGTCAAGGTAGTCTTATGACCTTATTGAGATTAACCCTTAAGCTGCTGCAGTTTCTGACCAGTACGTGATCTCAGTGCTGGGGTTTCCAGACCCCTTTATAATAGGGGGTACTACTTTGTTTTCTTAGTTTTTGTTTCCTTTCTTCCACAATACCCCCAAGTTTTCATGTGGGAAATACCCCCATCCCGAATACATGCATATCCGGGACCCGCACACAGGGCATGTACTGCAATCCCGGATATATCTGGGACCCGCAGCTTAAGGGTTAAGATCAAAACTTAAACTGTTTACATGTAATAGTGTATTGAATTGTTTGGTACTGAGTGAAGTAACTGATGGAGGGAGTGCATACCTTAGTTATGTACTGGGCCATTTCCTCAGACACTCTGCAACATTCGAACATGGCCACCAGTCCTGTACCTGGGCCTGAAACAAAACTGTATATGTCATCACTTGGTACACGTCTGTACCAGTATATCTGTATTTTTATCTGAGTCTGTATAGCCGATATAACCGTATATTTAATTTTGTCTTTGAAGTCTGTCACCACTGACATATCCTGAGATATTTTGTCAAAGTTATTTGCATAGTCCGTTCGGTCTTTCTTGATGGCTGGTTTTGTGCGAATGTACACTTTTCTCTTCTAAGGTTTTCTGTTCTGTTTTGGTGCCAGGTTAACGTCCACTAGAACCATGTCATGGTATATACAGTTGAAAATAGTGAATGTAATATAGTGTATTATATTAGGTACTGTATGTGACCTCCTTTGAATGAAAGGAAGGTGACAGATGGTCACTGAAACATCTGCTAAAACAAAAACACTTGGTTGTGTAAAAAGAGTCCCTTTATTCCTGTACTGACCTACTTCCTACTTACTAATGCGATATTGTTAAGCTCATGTAGTATATGTATATAACGTTACATGTAGTACTCACTTATTTAGTTGTCTAAAGTATATGTTAACTGTGCAATATTTGTTTCTCTGTTTTTAACACTAGCATACAATTCAGCGCCACTTACTTAGTTGCGCTGCCACATGCTAGAGATTGTACCTATCGATCAATCAATAAACAATCATTATTATGTACCTACCATATAGAGTGTCTGACAATGGCAGCCAGTCTGTCTGTGGCAGGTTGCAGATCGTAAACAACACACCTGGCACTTCCTATTGAAAAAAAAACATCAGAAGAATAGAAATTCAACTGAAATGCATTAGGACCCTGATTGACACTACATTTCTTTGATGACTGTTTGACTGTTTGACTGAAACTCATTACAATTTCTGTGCTGAGAGGGAATGCTGAGAAAGAACTTGCCACATTGAATTTCTTCTTAAAGAATTAATGATACGGGAGAAGGATCAAATAACAGTTTAAAAATTGTCAGAATTTTTTTCATTCATTTAGTGATTTAGTCATCATTCTTTCAATGGATGTGAGTCTATAAGAATGATAAATACTTGTCAAAAGTATTTAACATTCCAAAACATTTACTAAACTTTGGCTTCACATGGTATGGGAATGACTTTTAACATTATATTCAATAATACCACTGAAACTAATGAGGTACCTTTTTGAGCTGAGGCAACCCCAGCTGCAGTACTGGGAACACATGCAGTCTGCAGGTCCAGTCTGTAGAAATAGAAGATATCATGATATTAGTCTTAGATTTTTATCTCCATGTACGGAGATTTTGCTTTTGGGATATCCAGGGAGGTTAAGAGCAAAACCTTCTTGTGTTATCTGTATGAATGTGTGTTTGTTTGCTTGTGTTTCTGTAGTTATTGCCACATTCAAATTCAAAAACTCAATTTCAAGAAAATATGAGATCTTCAACTAATCTTGTCTTGAAGTTGAACAAAATAAGGCTAGGATTCTTTTATTTAATATTTAAAAGTGCTCGACACATTCTTGTGGAACTAAAAAGGTCATGTCCTGAGTGAAACACAAACATGCGAGTCCCCACTTAACTCCAAAACTCGCACATGTTACAAAGTATCGACTGTTACTGTCTTTTTTACCCTCCTCCTAGATATGATTAACTGTTAATCAGCTCTGCACATTGAAGTAAATTTTGCTTGCATAACTAGTAGAAAATGTATTTATCTAATAATTAATTGCATACAGTATTCAGCACAAAAGTACAGTAAATGACATTTTAGGTCGTAGCTGGTGTCAAGAGTGAACATAGAGGTCAGAACACAATCTGTGAGGAACATGTTTACACAATAAGGAGGTGATGAGTTCAAACCTGGGAGAGGGGAGAATTTTAATTACCTAACCACCATCTGCACCTCAACTTTTATTTATTTATTTATTGAGATTTACCACCTTTGTAGAAGGATTGACATAACAGGTACGTATCTATCATCTTTTCAGGAAGATGTCAACCAAAAAAACAGACTGTAAGGTCTAAACCAGACTGTAAAGTCTGATCCATGATCAAACTGGAATATAGGATCTTTTCAATTTGTGTGATGGGTTCTTTAACATCGATGCTCAATGTGTGGCTCTTCTTCAACAATGGACCTCCAGCATGAATGTCAGCAGTCAGATAAAAAAGGGCATCCCTCACAAATGTTAGGTATACTTAGTCTAATCAATTTCAACTGTGAGTTAAGTAGGGAAACAATACATGTACTAGGGCCTGCTAGGGATTCAAACCCAGAACTTCAAAGTCAACAACCATAAACTATAAGACCACCTTGCCACCTCAAAGTATTCCACTATGGTACCTGTACACTAAACCCTCAAAGAATCAGGGCTAGTAATTAGAATTACTTATAATCGGCTTTTGTCAATTATAAGGGGATTAAATGTATTCAACTTCCCACAAAGAAACCCTGTGATTGTTGCCATTTATACACCTGCTGACGATTCCTCACATTCCAAAACAATTAATCAATCTTTTCGGAAGTTACGTAAACTGAGCTTAGGCCACACCAATTTAATTTGTTGGTTCTCGGATTTTTTCAGAAAAAATATGAAGCGACAGGGCGAAAAAAAAAAATAAATAAAAACAGGTCTAGGCATCCTATTATAGGCTTAAATGCTACAAAATGAGCCATGAAGTCAACACAAAAGGCTGGGTTAAAATTTAAACATTGAATTTTGAACTTTTAATCAAACCACTGCAATGATAGATGGGAAAACTGTAACAACTAGGAAGAAAAGGACTATCCCCAACTGTTGGGGGGCAAAACATGAGCATTTTTCAGTTGATTCAGGACCAGAATCATATTTTTTTTTTTTTGCAAATCAGAAAAAAACGAAGAGGCGAATCCGAGAACCAACAAATTAAATTGGTGTGGCCTTAATGATAGAGATTCACAGGTGGGCGTGGATATAGACAATACAGGAATGGATGGAACTTCTGTATCCTTCCTACCCTAGGAAAGCCTGGGGCACGTAAACACTCTGGCCTGTTCATAGACTAAACATAGCAACAAACCACCAGAACAGCAGGGCTCCAAATTAATTTTTCAGAATAGGTGCACAGGTTTTCAGAATTTTTCAGAATAGGTACACCCAGCCTAAAAAATTTTAGGTGCACAAATAAAACTTATTTGGTTTCACCATTTAAAATAACAAATTAAGTAGAATGTCGGCAAAAACTAATAATGATGTTTTATTTCCAAGCAAAAGTAGAGTCGATTCCGCGTCACCGAGTGGGTTTTTTCTCCATGTTTCTAATACGTTTGAATTATTTCGAAGAAAAGAATACACTAGTAACAAAAGTTCTAAATTTTTCAAAAATTTGAAAATGAAAATTTGAATATATTTGAATTCATTTATATATTTCTGAAACATTTTGAAAGTGACTGTACAAAAATCTCTTTATTTAGAATAAATTTGAACTACCCATTTGTTTCTTTCACTATTCGAAATATTTAGAACTATTTCAAACAAATGAAAAATGGTAGATGTGGGTAATTGCCCCCATAAAAGTAGGTGCTAATCCTACTCTTCTGTATTCTTCTGTATATTTTTAGATTTCACTGTTGGACACTGGTGGCTCTTTTGTTGTAAGGCATCAATGCCTGACACCCAGGCAGTCTACCCTGTACTTCACAGGGATGTGTGAATTACTTCCTTCCCATCCCACTGACCTATTTACAAAATGTTAGAAATAATTCGAAATAATGGTAAAAAATGGTAGAGTGCTGTTAGAAATATTTAGAAACTATTGGAAATGTCATATTCCACATCAGGAATATTTCAAACGTTTTAGAAAACCAGGGAATTATTTGGAATATTGACAAGATGTTCAAAATATTTCCAAATTATGAAATTTCTTAGACAAACAATTACAAAGAATTCAAAACATTTCTAAATAATGACAATAACAACCCACTCGGTGACGCGGAATTGACTCTAGTCAAGAATAATGTATTATTTTTCTGACATTTAGATGTTAAGAATATGCTGTATACTATTACACATCTTGACATACTTAAATCTACAAAAATATTTGGGTGCACAGGTGCACCCACAGAAAAAAATTGGGTGCACAGCTCCAAATTTGGGTGCACTAAGGTGCACATGCACCCAGTATTTCGAGCCCTGAACAGCCACTAGCCTGGTAGTGTAGAGAAATTACCTTACTGTTGCAAATGTAATGCCGGCAGCAACGGCAATAAATTGTGTCAAACGTTTGTTCAGTAATGGTTTCATGAAACCAAGATAATTGCTGAGAAAGATCTTGCCGACATTCTTCTTAAAGAATTAACGATACGGTAGAAGGATCAAATAACAGTTTAAAAATTGTCTGAATATTTTTCATTCATTTACTGATTAAGTCATCATTCTTTCTATGGATGAGAGTCTATAAGAATGATAAATACTTGTCAAAAGTATTTAACATTCCGACCTGGGACAACAGTGTTCATCCCTTACCATGCAGCCTTTGAGTTTATGATTGAATATGGTCCATGAAGTAAAGGTATTGATAGTGATGCTGAGTGAGTGAAGTTTTACTGCATAATACACAGAATAGAGTAATCCATGCCCGGGGTTGAGGGGTTCGGACAACCCCCCCCCCCCTACAAGGCTCAAAGGTCCACTTTTTGGTCCACTTTTTATCTAAAGGTCCAAGATTTTTCTTTAAAAGATGGACTGATTTGTGTCACCAGCGGGGCTGGAATCGTAGGAAAACAGCTCACTTTGTCATTGAAAAAAGTTATCTAAAAAATGCCATTTCAGAAGGTTCATTTTTCAAAATTTCCCGGGGGAGCATGCCCCCAGACCCCCCTAGGAACCTACGGCGCTCGCTGGTCCCTCAAGCAGTGGGAAGAACCCCCCCATTCAAAATCCTGGCTACGGACATGTAATCTAACTTACATTATTTTGTAACCTATACTTACCCAGCTGCTTTAACTTGGTGTATAACCAGGCTATCTGTTTGTCACATCTTGACGATTCTGAAATGAAAATTAAAAATTCAGTTGGCATTGTTCACAGCATCCTGAGTGAACTAGTGAACCATAACCAAAAAAGTCTGGCCACATGGCTGGATACCAGGTGGTATTTACAATATATTACTTCCAAATTATTTACTTTTGACAGCAACCAAGAATATCTGATAGAGACATAGTATATTACACTTTGTATATCTGAATGCTGGCTGGCCTCCGTGAATATGACTGTAGTTTTATCAGGTTAGTACAATCATGTAAGTCACTGAATGAAGTACAAAACCAAGTGATTCTGCTGTCGTTTTGGTGACCATCTGTCACTTTACTCATTCAATGAATGCTGCATGTCAAATTCTCTAAATAAATTTGGTAAACATTTTGTATGTGTTGTACTGTATCTGTACTGTACTGTACTTGCCAGATGACAACAGCTCAAGCGAGATTTTCTGCACTTTCTCGAGAGCGGCCAGAGTCAGAGTTTTGGTCTGTGCAGTCATGTGATCACCTCCGTCCTCTTCCCACAATGCACTGGTGTCCTCCAGCAGCTGGCACAGGCAAAGCATGATGGGAAACACCTGTTGCAGCTGCAGCCAGTGGTTTTTGTCACCTCCTGAAACAGGGAGGATCATAAAAATATGGTGACAGGAGTCTATATGCCTACTATGAAATTGCAACATCATGTAACCCAACACCAGTCACTATGGTGACAGACGTAAACAAATAATGTAATTGGTCAGGTCAGAGGTCACTGTTTGGAGAAGAAGAAGAGGAAGAAATTGAGTATGTTTTCCTTTGGTAAACATAATTACACCTACAGTCATGATAATATTATACATTCTGATTCAACCACCAGACTGCTATAGCCACCCGGAAATTCTCTTCCCTCATGTCAACTTTCTTGGATGTTACAACATCATATCGAACAAGAGTTCCACGACCTCATACCTTCGCCAAATGATGTTAACCCTTGCGGTTGACGAATTATACAATTTTAATCATTTCTTTGCAAATAAGAGCCTCATTTGCATGGATTACAATGTATATCAGTTGATCATATTCTCCACCCAATTACAGCCTTATCTAAACAAAAAAGCTATTATAGCACTTCCTCATAAATTATGCAAATGAGGTCATGATTTGAATAAATTATGTTTATTGATGTTCGCCTTCACTTAACTTCCAAATGTGGCAAGTCTGACATTACCAGCAGTTACTTGCAGCAGCTTCTTGAGTTATGCTGTTCACAAACGGACAAACGGACAGACAGACAGACGGACAAACGCTACTGAAAACATAACCTTCTTGGCGAAGGTAACAACAAAGGCACAAGTGTCAGAAAATAAGGAAGGTCCAGAGGAATGCTACGCTGGAAATTTTTGAAATCTTGAACCCTAAAATGTTATTTGCTGCATTTTGAGTCACAAATTTTGCAGGTTGGTAGACTAATAGCTTGCTCTGATTCAAAACACATTGAGAATCAGTGGGACACGAAATCACTGTAGCCTTGAACCAATTTCTCATCCATATAGACGGTGTTGAGTGTAAGATAAGACCCTGGACATGAGGTTGGTTTACCATCTGTTTTGTGACATCAACCTTCTCTGCACCAGAAAGAGAAGAGACACAAACCATGCACATCTCACCCTAACTAAGATAAATGAGACTTTAAAGTGGCCGGCGTGTCCTGTACTGGAGAAACTGGGTAATGAGGATAACACAGGACTCAATGGGGTCAAAACTAAATTGGCCAAATGAAGTAAGGAAATATAAAGTGATCTTGATCCAGCTAATCTCCCACTGGTCGTGACAGAGAAGACAGATGCTATGTACAGTATTTACAGGTTCATTGTACCAAGGGAATTCCCCTTAGCTCTTTTCAACAAGCATAATAAACGGTGGACCCCGGCTTAACGTCTTGTCCTGTCCTAAGGACTGCGATCCCTTCCAGTAGGCTAAGCATGCATTTCTTGAGCTACTAGATGCATGTGTAATTATATCATAAATGGTTTGCACCGAACACAATACTGAAAACTGTTTTTTCCGCCTTGCATGTATTTCAAATTTTGTGATGCAGATTATTCTTCAATCTGACATTTGGCCTGTGGCCAAAATGCTAAGAATCCAGTTTTGGAGTTGAATGTTTATGTACGGAAACCTGGGCCTTGTCCCAAAAGTGCATGACAGACATGCATATGGTGTCCCAGAACCAGGACTAAAACTCCCCAGCCCCTATCTAAATGGAGTGGTTGAACATGTGTGCACATCAGATTAATGAGTGTTAGACAACAGCCACTTAAGGATGCCTCCTGCAACTAGGAGCGACCACACAACACTGTGGAAAACTAAATTAAATGCCATTTACAAGCAAGGCTGTCACTGCGTACTTTAAGTGACCAGCTCTTTAGTTAAAGATGCCTCTTACAACTAGGAGCGACCACACAACACTGTGGAAAAACTAACTGCCAGTCACAAGCAAGGCTGTCACTGTAAAAACTTTGTGCCCATTCCTTTATAGTTCAAGATGCCTCTACTACAAGCGACCACACACTATATTATATACTGCTAAAAACTAATGCCAGTTCCAAGCATGGCTATGATATTGCAAAATCACAGTCAAATCTTACTTTTACTACGGTACTGACCATCCCTTTAGTTTAAGATGCCTCTTGTAACTTAACTAGCAACATGACTGAAAACCTGCCAGTTCCAAGAAAGACTATAACTGTCACTGTCACTGCAAATACAGACAGATCTGACTTTTACTAGTGACCAACCAACAGTTTTTCATACAAGAAGACCACCTGGTTTTTAAGTGGTCGCTTTGATTATTTTTATACCCATTGACCCAGCATTAAAAATCCTGTTTATAGTCACCACCTGCAATACCTGGCCAATATCTGTAAGTCCTTTGAGTGGTCTGTATAGATAGGTTTGTCTGTATGTGTTTGCAGTGCAAAATATCAAAACTGACAGAAAAAAACAACACTATAACCTGGTGCCAATTATAACATTTAACAGGCCAGTTGTCCAAATCATTGTCTAGCCCACTTAATGTGTAACTTAAATGATGTAATTACTGATGATCTAAGATGTACAGTGACTGGTACTTAATTGCAACATCCTACAAAAAAGTTAGACTAGACACTGTGACACCTGGGAGATCTAAGAGAAGCAAAGGGCACATCTGCAATTTCACCAACAGATCACCATAATGATTTCATAGTCAGGTATAATCACACCTGCAACGCAACACAGACTCTTTCATCATCTCTGTACCCCTGTACTATTGTCCACGACATCTGGGATCAAAAGAGGGCCTCCCTGATGTTGCCATGGCAACAATCTGGTCTATGCCGGTCCATTTCACACCTCGCGAGCGCAGACAAACCGCAGTAATTGAAGGACCTGTTTTCTGTCATGGGAAAACGTCCCCAGTTCCAAGTGTGTGTGTGTGAACATTACATTGTGGAAATAAGTGTTTATACGTTGGTAGCAACTCTATTTCCTTCTTTTAATACTTTGGTTTACAATTCTAACTTCAAGTACATGTACATGTGCGTTTGAATGACATTTGTGCAAAGAAATGTTTAATATGCGTTGGCAGCAATGCTATTATTTCCTTCTTTTAATACTTTGATTCACAATTCTAACTTCAAGTACATCAACATGTGCGTGTGAACAATGTTTGTGCAAAGAAATTGTTTATACATTGGCAGCAACTCTATTTCCTTCTTTTTATACTCTGGTTTACAATTCTAACTTCAAGTACATGTACATGTGCGTTTGAACGATGTTTGTGCAAATGAGACGTTTATACATCGGTAGCAAATCTATTTCCTTCTTTTAATACTTTGGTTTGCAGTTCTATTAAACTTCAAGTACATCCTGTTTTCGCTGATCAATCTACTGCAGGCAAAATGTTTTCATGTTCAAATGCACAGAGGAACTGTGTCTTAGCCACAAAAGTGTCAGGAAAGCCTTATGGAAAATTCATGTCTTGCATAGTGTAATACTTAAGTCCAGTACTGTAACAGTAACTGGTAATAAAGTGTGTTGCGAAACGTAACACTATTTCGATAGCTCAGGTAGTGAAATACAGCCTCACAAGGGCTAGTCACATTTTCAGCCAAATGCACCAGAAGCATGTCACACCACATACTCTTTATGACAAGTGTGTTGGGCTCTTTTATGTTATCCTGGTGTCCAGCCTTGTTAGCTTTAGTCCTTGTTGGCGGGGAGCGGATCTTGGGGAGCGGACTAAAGCGAACAAGGCTGGACTCCAGGCTACTTTTATGTGAAGTACATGATCATGACAGTATGCATGTATGTTTTCAGCCCAAAGCTGAGCCCCCAAACCTGGGGCCATCACAGGCTCGCCATCGGCTGTTTGGTAACAAACACCCACTGGTCTGCCTGGAGAACATTCCAGCTGAATTAGCCTGATGACAGCTTCTCTGTAATTAGCACTGATCGGGTGGCCAAGACTTCAGGACTGTCGACAGACGCACCCAACCCAGAGCACACGTCTTAGTCACTTCTCATAAATCTCGCCGCAAAAAAGACGCCTCGAATCCTGACCTGAAAAAACATCCTGAGTCTTATCTATAGTCTCCTGATAGGAATACCTGTTTTCCATCAGCTGACCTCGAGTTTGATTTCTTCCCCTCCCAAAGATCAATTCGAACAGGTTATCATTTCATCAACTGGAAATACAGCTGCGAGGCATGGCGGCAGGAGACATGTAATTACTCTGATGTTGGAAACTCGATCCTGGCCGGTTTCCTCCAAACATTTGTCTCAGTACACCAAGCCTTGGCATGCTAACTAGGTGGAATCAGGGAGTCAGGGACAAAAAAACTAGCCCTGGTAATTATGTGTTGTGATGTGTAATACTAGGGGACAGTTGATAGTGTGTTAAAAACGAGGACGTCAGGGGTTAAAGAAGACAAAACAAACACACAGCTGACCACACACAATTAATAAGAGTAGCAAAGCATCAATATTTATAAGTTTCTGAGAGATATACAAAATTCTCACAATGGAGGAAACCATTTAAGAGTGGGGGACGGCTTCACCTTTAGTCAACTGCTGGAAATTAATTTTTTAACTTCTTTTTTAAGGCACTTGAAGCCAATGACAGAAACTTCTGGAATTCCGGAATTACTTAGAAGTATGACCACCATAAATGATAGTATCTTGATTGTTATCTTGAGGCTAACAAAGTAAGAAAACCTGCTTCCCACCCCTCCAGCCCAGTGGACTGCTCCTAGCGTGTGGCCGGTATTGGACACAACAAGTTTGCGGGAGATCGCCGGAGGAACTGACAACAAGTGTGCGGTGGGAAAATCCGGGTAACAACGAAGCTCTCATTCCCATTGGACGTTACCTTACGAGTATGAACACAGCACCTTCACACAACTCCAGCCGAACAGACTACCAGAAATGAAGGCAGGTCACTTTTCTTTGTTTTACATGTCCAAACTATTGGGTTACTGGGTGGTTCTGTTATCTATAGAACAACATACTTTTAACAGATCAGTCGGTAAATGTTTATTTGAAAGTTTCACCGTTTTTTCCTGGTTGCAAGTTGTGATGTATACAGTGAACCCTGGTATCTGGGATCTTACAGGTCCAAATACCTGTAAATTTAGTACAGTATTGTCAAGCCTTGCAAAAGTACAGAAACTAACTATACAAGCAAGTGCATGTCAGAAGTTGTTGCTAACTTTATGGATGACAAGAAAAAGCGCATTAAAATACTTCAGCATGTTTTTCTTTTTTTTCCATACTTACAAATGGATGCAATGGGTAAGTTTTTGCCATAGGTTGGCTCATTTTCAATGCAGCGTGGATTTTCAAGTGCCTGCACTGATGCTATCTCACACAGACATAGTTTTACACAGTAAAAAGATGTAAAAGTGCTTACGACAGGAAGCACTCCAAAGTTCAACAATTCTTCCAGATTAAAAGCTGGAACCGGGAGGAGAATGTATTTACACGGAGCTGCTGAAAGCAGGGCTTTGTGGCCGTTGTGTGGTGAAAACACGCGGGCGCATTTTGCGGTGTTTTCTGCTCCCCCCAGGCAGATCTTTACTCCTGTTGGGGCAACACGGCAGGATGATTCAGCGAGATGACCTTGTCACTGTGGGAGGATAAACATGGCAAAGGTCCAGCACCTGCAGTCCTGCACAACTAACACATGTAGCCTGCAGTGAACAGACAGTCGTGGCTCCCCAATCTCTACGGTGCTTAGTGCCGAGCTGTACTGCCTGCCCGCCAAGCCTCAAGCCTAGCTCACAATATATACTGTACAGTAGTAATTCAGTTAATGTTCACGGTAGCAACAGTTTGCGGTCTCAGAAAAATGGAGGTTTTTCAGAACTATATGTTCAGAACTATATGTCCAGAAAAATAAAAGTTGGTGAATTATTTGTGAACGATAATGATTAGTTCGCAGTACAGAAGTGGTGGCGAAAGATGGCCTTGCCACTGTGGGAGGATAAACATGGCAAAGCTCCAGCACCTGCACAACTAGCTATATATAGCCTGGTCAACAGACTGTCGTGGCTACCCGATTTCTACGGCAAGAAGAGTTCCCGCTTGCCCAGCCTCCCCCACAGTGCACACTGCGTAACTATGCAATAATTATCAACAAATTTGGCTGAAGTTAGTTGACAGCATGATTCCGGGTTTAACAGTAGCCTGGTGACCATTTGCTACAAAATGACTAATTAGGGTTTTCATTATTAGGAGAATACATGACAGCTGTTTTCCACCCTAAAATGACATTTTCAACTCACAGATGTATCAAGCGAGCTGATATGCTTCCTCTTGTGTCAGTACTTGACTGTCTGTAAGCTGTAAGATACACTCTTTTAAGCATCCAATGCTTTTTCACACGCTCAAACTCACGGCGCTCTATCAATATCCTTAGTTGTCAGAGAGTGGTCAGGTTTTGATGAATGAAACTTTTGACTGTTTCTGCTCCTCAGATAATCAGTGTCCTGTCCATCCTTGCGTTGCTCCTGCTGACGCTCCACGGAGTCCCCGGCTCGGAGGGCCGCCATCGCCGCGGGAAGAAGAAAGAGTGTCGCGACCCGCCGAGGAGCGCGCTCCGCAGAAAACTCCGCTTCTTCAACGGCTACAAGGAGAGCCCCTTCATCCGCCCACTGCAGAAAATACGCCACCAGGTAGTCTGCACTATAGTTGTGTGTATAGTATACTGTAAATTACTTCATGTTCGCAGTAGCAAAAGCTTGCTGTCTGTTTGCTGAACTATACATTTGCTGTTACAGCAGGTGTGGCAAAAAAAGAAAGTCAACAAATCATTTGTTCACAATAATGATATGTTCGCGGTACAGAAGTGAACACGAAAAATAAATTCAATATAAAATACTGCAAAAAAAAGTGGTTAGCACCCCTGCCTCTGGACCAAGCATTAGGAGTTCAAATTAATTGTTGCTCACCCGACATGCACATTACTGTAAAGGATCACAGTCCCTAGGACAGGACGTTAAGCCGTGGTCCACTGTTCATTGTGCTTGTTGATAAAAGCTAGGGGAATTTCCCTGGTACAATGAATCTGCAAATACTGTACATAGCGTCTGTCTTCTCTGCTACGACCAGTGGAAGATTAGCTCTTCAGTGAGCTAAAACTGGATCGAGAGATTCAAATCTTTTTATTGCAGGGATTTGATTTTATGGTAGAGGAAAAACCAGGTGTTTGCAGATAGCATATCAAGTGCATCTACTGTAACTGAACAAATGCCTATGATGCATTTCGTGATGGTTTAAGGACTCAGTTAAAGTTAGAGATTTTTTTCTATTTACTTCAAATTCACCACAATGAGAGCCACTCATTCAAGTGTTTGGGGTTACTGTTACAGTACTAGCCAGTGAGGACAGATATTTGTTAACATTAGACTTGAAAAGTTTAAGGTTATAACTTATACCCATTTTGGAAAAAATCATGTGGTAGCTTGTTCCATAGTGTTGTTCTTAAGGAAAGATATACATAGGGCATATACTACGACATGCACGCTACTGGAAAGGGTTACAGTCCCTAGGACAGGACGTTGTGTTGCTGTGGTCCACTGTTTATTGTACACGAGCTAGGGAATTTTCCTAGTACAATGAACCTGTAAATACATTTTGTGTATTGTACATAGTGTCTGCCTTCTCTGTCATGACCAGTGGGAGATTAGCTCTTCAGTAAGATAAAGGCAGATGAAAACGCTTTCCTTTTCTCACCAGGTGAAGAATGCCACGAGGCACCGTAACCCGTGCAAGGCGTACTCCAAGAGCACAGACGTGCATCACAGGTCCTCCAGTCCATGGAACTACAGGATAGACTACGACCCTAAGAGATTTCCTGACGGTGAGGACTCTCTCTCTCTCTCTCTATCTCTCTCTATCCAGTTTAACGTCTGTTGTTCCCCATAACTGAAGGTTAGACGTGCTTGCACTCTGATACATTCTGAGTGCATATTAATTTCAGTCTGCAAGGGATTTAATTTTATGATAGGGGAAAAACCAGGTGTTTGCAGTACAGTACTACATAAAGTGCATTTACTGAACAAATGCCAAGAGATAAATTCCTGATGGTAAAGACTCAGATGAAGACTGTCCTGATGAGAATAGCCTGGTACCCAGTTTATCGTGGTTGGGGCAGGCTGTCTTCAGGGCTCTAATAGTTTCTTCAACAGACTGCCCGGTAGAAGTGTTATGCCTGTGATAGAGTTTGGCACACCGGGAGTTGAGTAGTCCTCACAGTGGGACTCATTAACTCCTGTTGTGCAAAACCTACGGGGGAGCCTAGCAGAGTCGGGAGGGAAGAGATTCATTCAGCAGCCCCGAAGAGAACCCGCCTGTTGTTCTGTATCCAGAGCTGGCAGTGGCAGAGTGTCTGTGTCGGAGGACTTCACTATTTAGAGTCATAATGATTATGTTTTGACTTGTATAGAAGACTCTCGTGGTGATAGAGTTTCTTGATTGTTGTTTCATGACCAAAAGGTTCCTGACATGTTGTTCTGTGTTCTGTGTCCAGAGCTGGCAGTGGCAGAGTGCCTGTGTAAGGGATGTCTGATCCACGGGTTTGAAGACTTCACCATGCAGAGCCAGCCGGTCACCACTAAGATCCAGGTGCTGCACAGTACGGGGAGGTGTGACTGGCGAGGGTTCTTCTCTTACAGGTGAGAAATTGTACAGAAGAGACAAGGTAATTTTGATAGAAAAAAATATCTGTATTCTGTATAGCCGGTATAACTGCCCTTCAGTGTAACACACCAGCTTCTGTATCTGTATAGCCAGTATAACAGTAACGTAACCCTTTGGTGTAACACACCAGCTAATCGCAGGCATGTGGCATTATAGTGGCAGCTGGCTATACTACACTGAATAACCTGTCACACCTAACCCTTGTACAACTAACTGCAAGTGTTGTTTAAAACTATCTACAACTTAATTGGTAACAGCAAGTTTCACTCCACAATTATTAAGTACAATGGGAAAATACAAGCTTTTGACCACATCCACCTCAATCATTGGTTGATAACTTGAAGGCTGCATGACTCGGCATTCTAGTACAAGGAACAAGAAGCCTGCAGAAATGAGGCCCCCACAAACATTTTAAGATCTACAGCACGAATGTATGTATACAGTCCTCTAAATTGTCAGTTGAGGATAATTTCCAAGCAGATCTTTTGGTGACAGCAAGGCAGTATCAAATGATCACTAAGTATGTCAATTAATTTGCCACCTTGTCCACTATTTGGCTGCATGGCAAAAAACAAATAGCAGTAAAAAAAGAAAGCCTGATAAAAAAGCATAATAAAAGAACTTAAAATAAGCCTAAGTCTAAACCTAAGCTTGTGGAGTGAATTGTGGGGAAAAAAACAAGCCCTTATCTTGGAAAGGTGGTGAGAATTATCTCGATGGACCTTTGCCATGTCATGTTGCAGACTGTTGTGTCAACACGGCGTATCAAGTCACCGGCACACAGCCTGACAGTTACAGGAGGTGCTGTGTACCGGTTCACTGGACTTGGATCCAGACTTGTAAGAATGTTTAGGTTCAAGTCCAAAAAAACCTAAAAGTCAAGAACTGAGTCCGGACTTATTACGGTAAAAGACCATTTCACATTACCCCTTTCCTTTTTAAACCACCTAAAACTTTCCGTAGATTCCAAAATCTTTGCTGCAAAATGAAGAAAACATTGCCATCGGGCATCATCAAGTACTGGCCTCCATGTTATGTGGCCAAAGTTTCATCCAGACAACATTGCAGGGTTGCCAACATGCAATTTTGTATATGCCAATTGGGTTTACAAGTCTGGAACTGAACCTAAACCTCTGGACTTGAAACCGGACCTGAACCTAAATGTGGGTTTAGGTATGCAGCACTAACAGGAGGCATTCTGAGAATAACAGGAAGGAACGGAGCAGTCATGCAAACCTGCCTCCAGCAGGGACATAATTAGTCTGCATCAGATATACGAGGGGAGTTCATAAAGTCACGACCTCACCCGGAAACATGGGTGTAACTCAAATTACAGCACTGTTGATTAGACTTCAGCATCATTAATCAAGATACTCCAAAACAAACTTAAATCATTGTGGCAATTTCATTACAGAGGACAGTCCCTTTTGAAGGTCAATAATGTTTAGACTAGCTACTTATCTTTGAGAATTTCATACTTATGGATTTATGCTTAAGGATGACATCCAGTCTGACTATACTATTCAAATGTTGTATCAGAAAAGATCTTGTCTGCAACAGGCAAAATTCTGATGGAACCTTGACTAAACATCCAATTAAAACCGTGAAAAATCTGGGTTTTGCACAGGTACAGACGAACAGTACATCCTGCCAACGTGCTTGACTTGATTTGATTTTGATTTATTGAAATTGCAACTGTACAGTGCAATACAGGTGGGGCACAGGCAGCTGTTACTGGTGCTGTGTCCCACACATAGAAACAAAACAGGACAGACAATACTGATTTTCACTTGAGTTAAGTGGGGAAAGTCGTGTTAAATGCCTTCCCAAGTGCACAAGATCGGTGGCATATCAGGACTCGAACCCAGGACCTCTTGGTTCCGAGTTGAGCACTCTGCCGTTACGCCAAACGACCACTATTAGTAAAAGACGTTTTTTACATGTCTTTCATTTTCCCCAGGTTCCACTGGGAAGATGTGCCCATCGCCTGTACTTGTGTGCGTCCTGAGCCAGCTGTAAACATGCAGGACAGTGACGTGTATGAAGACTACGATGAGTACGAGTATGACTGAAGGAAGTATAGCAAAGTTCTTTGATCCCAACCATTTATTTTTCACGAGCCAACAAAGGTGCACTATGCACCAAGTAACATCTAGCGTCAGTGCACAGTAAAACAGTCAGAATTGCCCTGATGAAGATGACAGACGGTCGAAACTTCTGCTTGTGAAAAATAAATGGTTGTGATCAAAGAACTTTGCTATGCATTTGTTTACCAACCTGATGAAATTATTTACGGCTGAAGAAAGTAGTTAGAGGCACACAAAGTCATCAGAAGGCATCAGACTAAGGCCAACCTGCGAGGCTTTGACACAGCACAGAATCCTAACAGTTTCTACACATCCTAATACAACAATGTTTAAAATGACTTACGATAGCATAACAAAATGTAATGTAAATATGTCAAAATTCATAAGGAAAAGAAATTTCAAATTAGCTTCCTAGTTGGAAAATAGATTGTGATTTTATTTTACAATTTTTACAAATCATTAAAGATGGTCAGTATTATACAAATTGGAGGTAACTCTTCTATAATTATGTATGAAGAAATTGGTAAGTTGTGATACACAATTACCATGATTGTAAGTAGATATGAAGCCAGATTATTTGAAATTTTGCTGTGAGCATTATTGATCGAATGATGATATATGTTATGATATTATGGGTAAAACGTATGTGATGTTTATTTCTTGATGAAGAGAATTGATAGGATACTCAGCCCAGTATCTTTGATCTGTTATTTGAAACTCTGCCCCCTTTGTTCCTGTTTATAACATAAACATGAAATAAGTGTTGTAGGATGAGCTTTGGCAAAGGACAGTTCAGGACAAATCTGAAATATATTTGACAAAGTTTGGTACCCAAGTTTTTCTATTACAATGTCATGTAACTTAGACTAGTTGGGGTGTCTCTTTGAGGATGTTTGACAAATGTAAAAAATCTTAAACATGCTTTCAAAATAAAATAAAGCAACCATTCTAGATTAAAATTGTACTTTTTTCTGCAACATTGTCATGAATGTAGTCAGACATTTTGCTTGCAAATTATATTTAGGAAAACATTAAATTTAGAAACTGCAATCTATGTTTTTTTCTGGCATTTGCAGCCTTGCACTTCCATGGCCCATGGTCCACCTCCCACATAAAATGCTCTTAAACTTCAAAATTAAACTTCCAGATTTATCAGCAAGATCATTTTACCTCCATGTACATCTTTTAAATGTCCAGGTGCAACTCAAAATGTGAGACAGTCACTGTAAAAATAACATAAAAGTACCAGAGACATATTTCGACCACCCACACACACAGATTACAAACTTCACCATAGTGGAAACAATTACCGTTCCATGCCGTGACCAATTCTGTTGAACCACAGTGTTTAGGGTGCTCTGTGTAATGAGCTGGTAAGGGTGGGAAAAATAAATAATGACAGATTGTGGAAACAATCTTGATAATACTGCACCTAGGTGGGGGATGTTTGTGTGATACAGCTGAAGGAGATGTGAAAACTTGTTTTCGGACTGCAGCAGAAAAACTCTCAAAGCAAACATAGGTGAACAGTGTTAAAGTTAAAACTTAAACATTTCTCTTACTTAGAGTCTAGTAAAGAAGACCAGAGTGACTGGTCGGAAGCTCTATGTGAGAGAACTTTTGTGTTGGACCAAAAGTTTTAACTTTAAACATAACACATTCCCAACTAAAACGAGAAATTCTCCATACAGTATGTGCAAAATGCACACACCTATGTGCAAACTGCACATACCTATGTGCAAAATGCACATACCTATGTGCAAAGTGCACACACCTATGTGCAAACTGCACACACCTATGTGCAAAGTGCACACACTATGTGCAAAGTGCACACACCTATGTGCAAACTGCACACACCTATCTGCAAACTGCACACACTATGTGCAAAGTGCACACAGCTATGTGCAAAGTGCACATAGGTGCATATACTATGTGCAAACTGCATAAATATACTACTAACAGACAACACTTTAATTCCGGACTGACTCTCATTCCGGACGACCTTTAACCATTAAGACATTATTATATTACTCGCTGAAAGTTGCGTAGGTATCATCAATACACTGTAGGTCCCCTGGGACTAGGTCAGTTCTGCAGAATTCTGCATTCGGATGCAGAATTCTGAAACCCAAATGCAGAATTCTCTATCCAAATGCAAAATATGAAGGAATTTGCAATGCCTTATTTATTTTATGATGTTAGAGAGTGGACTCACACTCGTCCTACATTGTATGTGTTTGCTACTAATCCCTGTGCTGCAAAAAAAAACATACAAGACAGGACATTCTGCCAAGTACCTTCCAAAAGCACAAAAGAGTTTACAGATTGCACACACATTTCAGGCACAAGTACTTTCAGGTCATTCAGGTCACAGTACTTCATGCTGTATCTGTATCTGTATAGTCGGTATAACCGCCTTTCGGCGTAACACACCAGCTGATGGTCATTGTCAGACTGAAGCTTGAGTTCTTGTACACGTGGCGTGATGTTGTGCTTGGTGCTCAGTGATGGTGGCCAGAGATGGCTGGGTACATGGCAGAGGTAGTTGGCCGGCAAGCTGGCTTTGTTGTTGCAGCACGTCGACGATCGGGGTCGGTTTGCAGCAGGTGGGTGAGGCAGGCGGTTGTAGGCGTGGTAGTGCAGCTTGAGCAGCGATCAGGCAGGTGGATTCATTGCCAGGCGATTCAGGAGGCATGATAAAACAATGCAGGTTGCGAGAGGTCCCGCTGCTCCCCACCAAATGTAGGGATGCAAGAGAAGAGGCGATGGGAGAGACATTGTACTCTGTGGTGGCATGGATACTTCCTGTTTTCCGCTAGAATACATTGCTATAAATTAACTGATTTTCTCTGATCCGAATCAAAAGTAATCCTGCTGCACGTCCTTCAGATATTCCAGCTATACTTAGTAAATGCGCAGTTGATTGACTGATAGGGGTAAATATTCTGTAGCAGTAAAGAAAAGGAGTCTTAATATGTTTAGATACATTGTGCATCCAGAGTGTACCTAAGTGTGCTTGAAAGGGCTGTGCTGATGCTTGTGTATTGTGCTTACAAATCTTAGATTGCTACTGGCCTGAGCATTGATTAGTTATGGTCCCACCCACATGATTGTTAAAACAAACAAACAAATCCTTAGGGCTGGCCCACACTCCTAGAAAATCTTCATTAGTCACACCAGGGCTCCTACCAAATCTGGCACACATGTACATGCTTGGTATGTATTTGCCTGCTAAGTACCTTGATGACAGGTGTCCTGTCCCTGTGTAACACTAACTCTCATTGGAGCTTCTCCCAGCAGCAGGAGTCAGGCTATCCTACCAAACCCAACTCTGACACCCAGTCAAGCAACCCCCAAGTTGGCATAATTACATTTATAGGTCATACAGAAAGAGAAGAAGTGTTTTATAGCAGTTGACTCATCATTAGGTATTTAGGCAGACCCATCTGAAACTTGATAGTCAATAGTTCAAAATGTAGTTTGGATATAAAAACATAACACAGAACAGTCATCATCAAACATGCAGATATCCCTGGTTGTTTAGTACTGCTCTAGAATTAGTAGAAATATCCTTGGTGCCCGACCTCAGCACTTATATATGTATACAAAAATGTAGCGGACGAAAGCTACAAAGGCTGACACTCGGGCTAGTAACCAGCAGTATTCAGTTGAATGAACCATAAGGGAAATTCCATTGACACGGGGACGAAGATTTCTGTAGAAATCAGCAGAATTCAGCACAGATTTCTGTGCAGAAATCTAACTTTTTAAAAAGATTTCATACTGTGAAATTGTCCCACAAAATGTATCATTATGGTGATAAGTGGTAGATTCACTCCCCTAAATGCTACTATCACTAGTATCAGCTTATTTTGGGTAAAAATGTCGGAAATGCATATATTTTTGCTTTTGTCCCACTTTATGACAGCCCAATACCTTGCAATTTGGCATGGGGATAGCTTTGCATAAATATTATGCTAAGATTTTGCTTTCCAAGTTTTTTTATTCAAGTCTTGCAAATGGTTTTATATAGCTTATTTTGGGTTAAAATAGTAAAAAAATCTGTCCAATGATTTTGGATTTAGTCAGACATGTTATGCCCACAGTATGTTGTGCCCATGACCATAACCATGACATGCACACCCTCAAATTGTGCTTTTCTCTGACACCAGTAGGACGTATACTCTAAAGGAAAAGACACCTTTTCACAGGAGATCATGCCAAAGCCAGTAGGGGCCAAGAGAGGCCAGGCTGAGGAGGGCCAAGGCAGGATAGACTTACAGTAACTGTAACAGGAATGCAAGTACATGTGTGAGGGCCTGCATGGGGGTGTAGTGATTACGAATTGCGCAAATTTTCTCCGCCGACTACGAATTACGTCAAAGTTTCAGAGCTGATTATGACTTTACACTTTGCAGTTAGTGTACTATAGTGAATTACATTTTTGGGGAGGCTGCCTACGGATTATTGAGACTAAAAAGGCCTAATTACGCCTTACAATAAAGGGCATGCAGGCCCTCATGTATAGGTCATCTCTTGGACCATCCAACTGAGGAAAAACGATTAGTTCTGCATGCCAGTATCACACTTTCCTCCAATCCTGTTCATAACATTGAATACTCATTGCTCATCAAAGCTTTCTGGAACTGCACATAACAAAAATACATGAATGTGAAGAGTGAAAACTTTGCACAAGGTGGCTGGCTAACTTATTAATGATACCTAGCAAAGCTTCTGTAACATCCAAACTGTGATGTACACAATTGTGACCTGAAGGTCTGACCTCTGGCTCCCCCTGTCCCAGTGAGGGGTAACCAGAGGTCAATAGAGGAGGCAAGGCAGATGTTTTTTCAGGGATGAAGTTACATCTTGTTTGATCCCATATTTGGGTCTCTGAGTCTGAGAATCCAGTTCAAATCATCCTTACTAATTTATGATGTCAAACCTGGAACCTATGTGTACCTCACAAGTTACAAATCTATTTTGACAAAAGGATAATCAATGCAAAACTCCTACAGGAGTTACAGCAATTCTACCAGGTCTGTTGAGTTGGACTGGGGAAAATATTAGAGCCC